GTGGCCGGGAGCGGCCACTGCACTCCAGTCTGGGCGACTGAGACTCCAACTCAAAAAAAACAAAAAAAACAAAAAAAAACCTCGGATTAGAAACCTGAGAGAATTCCATTACAATATTTTTATCATATATTAGCTACCTCAAAACCTGAACTATTAAAGCTACTATCACTACAAGTTATCAACCAATTGTTGCAAAATCACCAGACAACGTTTCCATCTCTGTCTTCCTTGACTACTCAATGACATTTGATCCGCCTTTCCTCTACCTCCATGGTGAAAATATACTTGGTTTAAATAAATATAAACAATAAACATGGGTAAAATTACATGAACATGGGTAAAATTACAGCATAATTTCAATACATGCTGTAAAAGTCTGACAAAAAATACATTCTAGCATCCTCATCTAACAACACCTTTATTAAAGTAATTTCATCACATTATACTTTATTTATTTATTTCTAAGTTTTCAAACAAAGCTTATTAGCGAGAAAAAGAGAAAGGGGAAGAAGGGAGATTCATGGCAGAAAGACCTGCCATGGTGAAGTTTTTCAAAGGGGAAAAACCGCCAGTTTCATCCCATTTTAAAATCGGTGTCTCCTCAACTAGTTCAGCACACAACAAAAAAGGATGGTATAAAGTTAGAAAAGCATATGAAACTAACGAACAAAGCAGTGACACCTTCCAGCCAGTCACATTTTTGGAAGTTTCTACTCTGTTATGAATAGCCCCCTGCGGTCCCTACGTCTTCGACATCCCAGCACGAACGACTCTCCATTAAAACAACCACAATGTTAACGCAATGCCACTCCTCAACACCCTGTTCCTACGCACCGTCTCCCTTCCCCTTCCCTTGTCTTACAGTCACACCCTTGATAGCGTCACCTACATCCCACGCTCTCCACTCTCCACCACCATTCACCATCCACCCGCGAGCAATCTGATTTGCACCTTAACCCCTCCGTTAAAGCTGCTGGCACTACAAGTTATCAACCAACTGTTGCAAAACCAACAGACACATTTCAATCTCTGTCTTCCTTGACTACTCAGTGACATTTGACCTGCTTTTCTTCCACCCCTATGGTGCTGCTTTCTAGACTTTTCTCCTGTTTTCCTGAATTCTCCTTCTCAGTTTCTTTTGCAGGTTTCTCTTCCTCTAAGTCGTAAGTCCTTTTCTTTATTCAGTCTGCTTACTCTCCCACTCAGTGTGTCCAAGATATCAGGCTGACAACACCAGAAACTAGTCACTGAGTTTAGCATGACTACAAATGTGATGACCAGACATTGTGTGCCTCCTGACGTGCTTCAGGATGGAGTATACAGCACTGCTAATGAAGTATTCCTACTAAAAGCCTTTAGAGCTCATTTTCAATGATAGGAAATTCCGAGTATTGAAGAAGAAAAAGTTGAAAAGCACCACAGATGAACAAAAAGACAGATCCAGACTGTGGAACTTCTGCAGGACAGCAAATCAGTGGTGTGGAAGACTCCTCAAGACCAGAGGATATTTAAGAGAAAACAATGGTGTGCGGTGTGTGAACCTTGTTGGGATTCTGCTTCCCACAAATATTCTGTAAAAAGAGACATGATTGTCATAATTATGGGTCTCTGAATATGGACTATGTATTGAATGATAACCAGAATCATTGATAATTGATTTAGGAGTGATCGATGTGATTGAAAAAATTTATTTATCTTTTTTAAATTTTTATTTATTCATTTTATTTTTATTTTTTTAGAAAGCAGGATTTATTGAGAGGGCAGAAAAGCCCCCACAGTGGGAGGGGACCTGAGGGGGTTGCCAATTTCCATATTTGTAGAGAGGCATGCTAAAGTGTGTAGAGATGGAATGACATGTCAGGGATTTGATTTAAAATATTTCAACAACACAACAAAATTTTTTAAATGACCATATATCTTCCTCCCCTGCCCACTGAAATCCTCTCCACCTGATGTTCTACTATCTCAGTAAATATCAAAGACATTCATTCACTTGTTCAAATCAGAAACCTGAGAATCATTTTTTATTCTCTTGTCCTTCAGCTTCCACTTCCAATCAAGCGTAAAGTTTTGTTCATTATATCTCCTTTGTGTTCCTCAAATCCTCTGTTCTCCGTCCCACCATCTTCTATCATACATAATTTTAATAATTTTAATCCAAAAGTTCTGCAAAAACCTCCTAATTGGTCTTTTGGCCTCCAGTTTTGTGTCATTATCTTTAATCTTACCATCAGAGCCTAGGAATCTTTCTCAAATGCAAATCTAACCACATCAGTCCTTGATTAATCAGTAATCAGGCTTGTGAGAGCCCCTCTAGGCTATTTCTTGCACCCTCATATTGAATTCCATGCTTGAAACACTCTGAACTTACAGTTTCTCACAAAACGCAGATTAGCTTGTTGTTTTCAGGTATTGTTTAATAAGCAGCGAGGGCTGATATTCCTAAAAAAATGAAATGTGGGTTCTATGTTTCCCCAATCCTCTGCCTAAGGGTAATTTCCAAACTGCAGTACAGGAAAATGGAGCCCGAGCAGAGAGTAGAAGCTCTGCTGGGCAGAGAAAACAGATTGCTAATGTATCTGAAATTTGCTAGGCAGAGTACCAGAAAGGAAGGAATTCCCAAAAGTATTCCAGGAATTAGCACAGCAGTTTCCTTAAGGTTCCTGAAGGTCACACACATAGAGCAAAACACTGCAATGCCTGCTTGAAGCATTGATAGATAAACAGAAACTTCAGAGGTAGTAAAATGCTGGAAAGACATAAGATTTCTGACTTATAGTGAAGAGATATTAATGAAAATTCTGGGCATTAAGTTGAGACCTCAGAAGGGCCATTTTATAGAAGTAAGGACAAAAGGAAAAGCCAAAACAGACTCACCCTAACAAAATCTAAATTCAAACCTCAGCAAAACCAAGGTGATTCATCAGTAGATTGATTGCCTTCCAGAATAAAACACAACACTTTCTAGAGTAAAATAATATACTCCAGAGTTTCTACATCCTATTACTCATAATGTCCAGTAGAAGATAAAAAATTATAAGATATATGAAAAAGCAAGAAAATATGATACAACCACAAAAAATAGTCAATAAAAGCAGACCCACAGATGAACCAGATGTTAAAATAATTATAAATAGTTCAGGACTTTGTGAAAAAGATAAAAATTAATTAACATGGGAGAATTTCAGCTAACAAATGTAAATTTAAAAAAAAAAAAAACTAAAATTGTCAAACAGAAAAATATAATCTCCATTTGTCAATCAAAATAAAGTACTTGAAATACTTAACAGTTCCTGGATCCTGAAGAAAAAAATATTGGTAAAACCAAAGATGGGATCAATAGAGATTATCCAAACTGAAGCAGAAATAAAAGATACATTTAACAAAAAGAATACAGCCTCAATGATATGGGAAACAACATCAGCAGGTCTAATATACAAACAATCAGATCTTCAGAAGGAACGAAAAAATAAGTTAAATTTTTCTGTAAAGATAATTTCTGAACTTTTTTAAAAACATCACAGTTGAAAAATTTTCCAAAATTAATAAAAAATACCAACCCTCAAATCTAAATAGTTTGGCAAGACCCAAGCAGGAGGAATAAAGCACTTTATTATCAATTCCTGAAAACCAAAGATCGTAAGAGAATCCTAAAAGCAGCCAAATGGAAATGATACAAATAGCTGAGCACAGTGACTGGACGTCTGTAATCCCAACACTTTGGGATGCAGAGGCAAGAGGATTGCCTGAGCCCAGGGGCTTGAGACCAGCCTGGGCAACTTGGTGAGACCTCATCTCTACAGTAAATCAAAAAATTAGCTGGGCGTGATGGCACATGCCTGTAGTTCCAGCTACTTGGAAGGCTAAAACGGAAAGATTGCCTGAGCCCAGCAGGTCGAGGCTGCGGTAGCCATGAACGTGCCACTGCACTACAGCCTGGATGACAGAGTGAGACTCCAACTCAAAGTAAAATAAAAGACACAAGCAACAATTTTTAAAAATGGTTGATTACTCATCAGAAACAGTCAAAGACAGAAGACAATGAGTGGAATAGGATCGTAAAAGTGCTAAAAGAAAAAAAAGTCACTTCTCTAGCTCCACCAGTTAGTATCAGCACCCCTCTTGTGTGCATCAGTAGCAATATTTATTTCCCTACTGTAGCGTTCACTTAACTATTGATCTCTTCTTATTACTGTGATCTCTGTGGGGATGTGACTAGGCTTATCAAGTTATCATCTTTACTGTTGGGCCCTTAGCTCTCAGCATAGGTAGTTACTTACATGAAGTGTTCAATTACTATTCACTAAGTGAATTGCAGAGACCATATTTATGTTCTTAAAATTATGACCTAGAGGCAGGCCTAGTGGCTCACATTCCAGCACTTTGGGAGGTGGAGGTGAGAGAATTGCCCAAACCCAAGGGTTCAAGACCAACCTGGGCACCTTGGCAAGAACTTATCTCTACAATAAATAAAAAAAATATATTAGCCAGGTGTGGTGGCACATGCCTGTGGTTCCAGCTACTTGGAAGGCTAAGGCGGAAGGATCACGTGAGTCCTGCAGGTCGAGGTTTCAGTGGCCATGAGCATGCCGCTGCACTTCAGCTTGGGCAACAAAATGAGACTCCAACTCCAAAAAATAAATAAATAAATAAAGCATGGAACAACTTCAATAAAATTATAAAACAGAGGCCAGGCATGGTAGCTCAAGCCTATAAACCCAGCACTTGGGGAGGCTGAAGAGAGAGGATTGCCTGAACTCAGGGGCTCAAGAGCAGCCTGGGCAACTTGGTGAGACATTGTCTCTACAATAAATCAAAAAATAGGATGGGCATGATAGCGTGTGCCTGTAGTTCCAGCTACTTTGAAGGCTGAGGTGGAAGGATCGCCTGAGCCCAGCAGGTCAAGGCTGCAGTGGCCTTGAGTGTGCCACTGTACTCCGGCCTGGGCAACAGAGTGAGATTCTGACTCAAAAAATGTGTGTGTGTGTGTGTGTGTGTGTGTGTGTGTGTGTGTGTGTGTGTGTGTGTGTAAGACAGACTAGAATTATTTGGGAAGCATTATATGTATACTTTATGCAAACTAAAATTAAAAAGTAATTTACTTAGTAACTATTTCTTGTGGTAGATTAATGCTTATGTGCAATATATTTTCTGTGACCACAAAAACATCTATTTAGGAGCATTACAAAAAACAATAATGTGGTTTAAGAATGCATTCAAGGTAAATTATCTTATGAATGTAGTAAAAATTAAAGGCTTGGTTTATTTCAAATGTATGACTTAGATATAACGTCATTAAAGTTATTCTGCTTTAAAGTTAAGGTTAGGAATAACCTTACGTGATGCTGTTTTTTAAAATAAAACCTGCCATTAACAATATTAGAATATAGGAAATGGCACTAAAATAAAGTCAAGAAAGATACAGAAAGACAGGGAAACAAATCGTAAAGCAGCCTTACAGCAATAGGTTGGAGTCGCTGGCCACATCAGTTCAACCGGCCTGGATCGGAGGCCTCTGCTGTCAATATATATCCCAATGCTCTTGAAACATAGCAGATACTCAATACTGGAGATCTCGACTGCACAGAGAGCATCCATCGGTTGATGTTCAATGAAAGACAGTGTGGGGTCATGTGAATGGAGCATCCTATATGGGATTCCTTCTCTCTTCAAGGGATATCTCAGGAATCCCGACTGGAATCCCACGCAAAGCTGTTCACTGAAGATGGCCATCCATTGAATGGTGGTTGGGACTTGGACCTCTTTAAATTTTTTGTGAGAAATGCTTTTGCTCTGAAATAGCTCAAAACAGAGGATGCGACTTTTCCTAGCTACACAGAGGCACACATGGGCACCAAGGCACATTGTTCCAGAAGCCATGGCCAGACACCCTCTGGTTTCTGGCAGCTTGTGAATCTTCGTCTTTTGACCATCCAAAGCTAACATGGGAAGCAGATACACGTGGTGATTTCGTCCAGAGATCACTGCAACAATCTGGCCGTGTGGGATGAGCTCGATCTGATGAATCCTTTTCATGTCACCAATTTGAATAACTTCTACATAAACAAACATGATTGTAAGTCATCTTCAAATTCAGAATAATTTATATTTCTTTGACCCCCAATTGTATCCTAAAGCACTTAAGAAAGCTTTCAAAAAATAATCTGATATATCTTCTCAATGTCATCAACCTGAGTACTTTTGCTACAAATAAAATAAATCACTTTTAAATTATGAATGCCTTCTATTTTATATTCTCTCACAATTAATTAAGTTAGGTTCTATATAGTCAATGGGAGTCAAAAAAGAACAATGAGACTGAAGACAGGAGTCAATAGAAATAGTTAAACTGAAGTAGGGAAAGAAAAAAAGATTAAAAAAAAAAAGAAGAGGAACAGAGACTCGGTGACCTAGGGAACAATATAAAGAGAATTGATATTAATACAAACGAATGAAATAAAATGTTATTATTTTTAAATTCTCTCCCAGTAGATTTAAGTCAGGTCCTGATAAAATTACAGACACAAATTCATGGATTAGGTTTGAGAAGGACAAAAAAGGATAGGAAGATAAGGATAAGAAATCAAAAATTATATTGGTAAAAAAGAAGGTAATCATTCCAGAGATATATCATTACCTTAATAATTTCAGTTAAAATTAGCATAATAAAACACAAAATTTAGGCCTGAGATTCGAGGCAGTGAAGCAAACACCTCTTTATGTCTGACAAATGGAAACATATTACTTCTTTAGGGAAAAAAACATTTTTTTTCCTAGTACTAAGTTGAATCATTTATTCCTCAAGTAATTGTTGAGTGCCTACTTCCTGCCAGGCACTGTTCTGTTCTGTGTTTGGGGTACAGGAGCAGTAAAGGAAAGACAGGACACCTGGGTGGATCTTACCTGGGCCTCCTCACCAGAAGAGAGTCAACCACACACCATGAATCCGTTCAATGGAAAGCATGGCTAAATGGTCTTCCCATGGGGGTCTCCTTTATGTAAACTAACATTAGAGCAGAACACATCAAAAGGGCCAGCTATACGAGAATGGCACCTCCTTATTTCATCTAGTCCCTCATTTCTTCCTCAAACAACTATAAAAGCAAAAACAAAGAACTCTGTTGTCTCATTCGGGAAACACCCAATTTCATGTTGTGTGGTGCCAGCATAATAGTGAGGATGGGAATAGGAGGCGAAAGAAGAAAACAGAATTGTATTTTTTTATCATGCACCAACTATAAAATGATAATCTGAGTTCTAACAGAAGACTTATTAGATAAAATCACCTGTAAAAATATATCGATTCCAGGGGGATCACGAATCTATGGAAGTTAGAACAGTATTTATTTGACTTGTAAATACATCAAACCAGATATGGGAGGTTTCATTTACAGAAAAAAGAAGAGAAAGAGAGAACAAATCTGACATTATATTGTTATTAGAGCTTAAGGTTATTAAAGAGCAGTTAAGATTCTCCTTACCATCTATGGTAATGTGCACAACAAATAACCCTTCTTCATTTCCCAGAGCGATTCTTTTGTGATCTACATTGGACACATAAATAAAAACATCAGGTTTTGTTGGCAAACACTGAATAACACTAATAAAATGGACAAAATTCATCAATGTTGAAAAAGCTCAAATTTTATTAATCAACAAAATTAATTAAAATTAAATATAGATTTAGCATATGTAAAAATGATAAAATATAAGAATAATTAATTTGCATTACTATTTTTTCAGATTGCAGAAGTATAATAAGAATAACTTTTCTCAATAGAAAGATCATTACAAAGTCAACTTTACAAACACTTGAAGAAGTATAATATTAAAGTAATAATAAGCTTTCAAATTTGCTGTAAATAAATATTTGTTTTATAAATAAAAAATTACAATCTAATTTGTGTCTTGACCTGAATAGTAAGAGCAATGTGATATATGTATTTACAGGGAGAATTAAAACTCAAGTGCAAAGATAGCATTTATTAAATGAAGGTCTTGAACATGAAGAACAGAACTTTACGTACACCATTTCACATTCTCCCCATAACATGGGAAAAAAGTAATGCACAAGGAAGTCTGGTAACTTGCTCTGTGTCACTCAGCAATAAATAACTAAGTGGCTTACTGTCACTGTCATCTAATTCAGATGAAATGGTGTTTGGGAAATACAAGTACTCTGGTTTATTGACAAAAAAAAAAAGGTGAACATTGATCTTAGTAATTCATTCACTGATTCACTTATTTTCCATTTAGTTACTGAGTATTGGGCATTGAGTGTATAGAATTGAATGACAGTCCTTGTCCTCAAAGTAGGACAATTATTACACAGTGCCATACCCTTTATGAGATGTCCTTGAGGTCGAATGTGTTCTGAGACTCAGAACTTTTCAGATTTGAGAAAGGTATCACTATACGTTTTAAAACATATCATGCAGAGCCTGAGAACCATCATGTAAGCAAACATTCATATTTTTGTAGACTATCCTATGACTAGGCATACGAAGAAGAGGTTAAGCCGACAGTCTCACATTCATTCAGGTCAGATTTTGCTGCCAAATGAGCTGTGAAAAAACCTAAGTTTTTCAGAATTTGATCTGGGTATCGTGATGAGGGATATGAACCTAGTGGGGTTGGAAATCCATACCTATGATTGCAGCTGCCTGGGTGGTTTTGATCAGAGATAGACTGTTGCCATAAGCCTCTTTCAGAACATAGACTGAGCGGTCTCTGGAATGATTTTTTTTCAGCATCGTGTGCAATCCACTCAGCGCTTCCACCCACTCACTCTTCTCATTCTCGCTATCTGCTAATATTGGGATTGAATATTTATTACTAGGTGCTGAGAGCTGAGAAGTTGTGACCTAGAATGATTTAAAAAATACCTATGTTATAAGAAAGCAAACACTCTTTATGCCAGCCTGTTTAGCATTGTATTTAAACTCATCTTTGGCAAATCATACCTCTAACACAATTATCCTCTTCTTGGCTAGAAGAATAAACGATGTGAGCATTGGACCCCAGGCCAAAAGCAAGGGTCAGATATTCTGCGAATGTCAGGATCACTTCTATTTTAATCCTCATAAAAATACCGGAGTACTATGACTAAATAACACATTGTACTTTATCAAATAAAAATAGCTACTATTTATAGAGTGCTGATTCTGTGCCAGGAACGGCTCCAGGAAATTTACATGCATGATTTGATTTCATCTTCACAGAAACCTCAGGAAGCAGGCACTACTGTTCTCTCCATTTTACAGGCAAGAAAGTGGGGTACAGAGGAGTGGAACCCCGGCAGTCTGGCACCAGAGACTCTGTATTTCATCCATTCTAAGACACAGCTATACCCCTTGTAAAATCTCTGAAAGGGCAACGTGTCTTGCAGTGGCAGTCATCGTACAATTGTTATATTATGCAACGCTCTGCAGTTTTGTGTAGATAAATTAGACTTGTTCAGACATACCTGTGTTTTCTGTCTGCTATATGCCTACAACTTCTATCATTACTAATAAATGACAAATCAAATTTGAATTTAAACAATTAGATCAGAAGAACTCTAAATTTATAAATAAAGCTTTCTTAATAAATATCAGTTAAGCAGCAATGCCATAATAAATGACCCAAGTTCCCACTCTGTTAGTCGATTCCAAATGGCTAAGTCTTGTAGGGTCTCTTTAGGTTTCCGTAAAGTCTAAATAAGTTTATATCCTCAACTTGAGGGACTAAGGACTACTTCTGTATGGTTCATATGGGCCAAACAAAGTCAAGGCAGTCCTTTTCTTTCTGTCACATTATGTAGTCCATCCCAGAATCACTTTAATTTTTTGGCATGTATTTTTAAACAGCGGAGCTTTGATTTTTTTTTTCAGAGACTGAAAAACTGCACACTGCCTTGATTTTTCCACGTGGCTGTCTTGGTTTGAATTTGAATTGTGACTTCAAAGAGGTGGCTCAGAGGAAACTCATTTTGCAAAGTGTCTCTGGTTCTGGACTCCACCCATGGAGGGGTCCTGCGGGTCTGCAGCCTGCAAATCTGACTCTCTAAGACCGGCTTTCTTTCTCTGTTGCTATATTTTCCTCTTCTTTCACCCACCAGTACTGTCCTTCCCTGTCAGCCCCCTGTTTCCAGCTGTGAGTCTAACAGCTGATCTGCATACCCCTAGTGTGGAACCAAAGGATACCCACAGAGATACTTGTGTCTTAAATCCTAGATTCACCTGTAAGGAGAAAGATTGTGACATGTGCTAACAACTCTTTCAGATCTTTCTAAGTAAGAGTAGGGGAGAGAATTGTTGTGGTAGGTGGGAGAGAGGGGAAATTATTTTTAGCCCTTCTGACATCTCAACCTGCAGCAGCCCAGGAACTTTGGTCCCCAGGAACAGGCGAGACAGAGGTGAAAGGAGACACATCCTTAGGCAATGCAAGGCAGCCAGGACACTTACTTGAAACATACGGGTCATCTCCTGCCTCCTGATGGGAACACAATCAGAGGGCCACAGGGAACAGACGGAAAATGCCGCATCCCTGATGGAAAAGCAGAACACTCCAGGTGAGCGGAATCATCTGAACTGGGAAGAGACAATGCATAAGCATAATTCTCGGTTTTTCTTTCGTTGAACTCTGACATTCTTTTGTGTGGTAACTGATAGTGGTCAAAGAAACTACTGGGTCAGCAGTGATTGGCCAGCAACATGTTATCAGAAACTCAAAGTTAATTCTAGGTTGTCAGGGATTCAGACAATCTGGTAGAACGTGGAGAAGAGCTTCAGGCTGACCCCACAGCCATGGTCCCTAGAAGAAGCCCCAGTGCCCCTAAATCAGCTCACTTGATGTATTTTTTCAGTGTAACTGAGATCTACTTGACAAACAATACACTGAACATATTTGAAGTGTACAATTTGATAAGGTTTGATTTATGTACATGCCCATGAAACCATCACTACAATAGAGATCATCAACACATTCATCCTCCCAAGTCTCACGGAACTGCTTTGTGTTTTTTTGTGTGTTTTTTTTTGTTTTTGTTTTTTGAGTTGGAGTCTCCCTCAGTTGCCCAGACTGGAGTGCAGTGGCCGCTCCCAGCCACCGCAGCCTCGACCTGCTTTGTAATCCTTCCTTCCCAAGCAACCACTGATCTGCTTCCTGTCACTCCAGATTAGCTTGCATTTTCTAGCACTTTATATAAATGGCAAGAGGCAATATGTGTTCTTTCTGTCTAACTGCTTTTTCTCAGCCTAATTATTTTGAGATTTATTCATGTTGTTACATGGACCATAACTTCATTTCCTTTTCTTGTAGAGTAATATTCCAACATATGGATATGCCACCATCTACCTACTGACCTGTAATGGACATCTGGGTTGTTTCAAATTTGGGCTGTTTTAAATGAGTCTGCCATGAATATTCATGTAAGTTATTTAAGGACATATGCCTTGATTTCTCTTGAGGATGTGCAATGGCTGGATCATATGGTAGGCATGTGTTTCACTGAAGAAACCACCAAACTGTTTTCCAAAGTGACTGTATGATTTACAAAGCAGCGTGTGAGAGTTCTGGGTCTTCCGCATCCTCCCAACACTTGAAATTGTCAGTCTGTCTCTTTAATTTGAACCTTTCTAATGGATGTGTAGTCATGTCTAGTGGTCGCTTTATTTGAATTTTCCTAATAAGCAATGGTGTTCAGCACCCATTCTTGTGCTTATTTGCTTGTTTTGGATTTGGGTGGTATATTTTCTAATTATTATGTTTTGAGAATTCTTCATACATTCTGAATACAAGTCCTTTGTCAGATATTTGATTTATAAATATTTCTCCAAGTCGTGGCTTCTCTTAACAGTATATCTTAACAGTAAATTTCTAAGCGCAGAAGTTTTTAATTTTAAAATTTTTGGAAATTTTTTATGTAAGAATAATTTGCCCTATCCAAGAACCAGAAAGATTTTCTCCTATGCTTACTTCTAGGCACTTTATAGTTTTAAGTTTACATTTAGTTTCATGATCTATTTTGAGTTAACTTTTGTATATGGTAAGAAGTGTAAATCAAAGTTGATTTCATAAGGACAGCTTAAGTTCTACCACCATTTGTTGATGCCTTCTGCAACTTATTGAAAATACTGTATATTTTAAAGTAACAGAGTAGAAAATCCAGAAGTATATCTATACAAATACACGTCCACAAATATAAACCTATATATACACAATATATATATTTCTAGATTTTATAATTATAGTTTTATTGTTGAAATCAGGCAAGGTTAATTCTTCAAATGTGTTAGGGTTTATTTCACCTGTTTTGGTTCTTTTGCATTTCCTTACAAATTTTAGAATCAGCTTCTCAATTTCTACCCAAAAAACTTAAAAGCCTACTATAATTTTTATTAAGATTATGTTGAAACTACAGACCAATTTGGGGAGCAGTGATATGTTTAAAATATTGGGTTTCTAATGAAAGAACACAGTATATCTCCCTGTTTAGGTCTGCTTTCATTTTCCTCATCAGTATTTTGTACTTTTCTGTGCACAAGTCATATACATCTTTTTTGTCAGATTTATTCCTAAGAATTTAATGTTTTGATGTTAATGTAAATAATATTGCTTCTTAAATTCCAATTTCTGATTATTTATTGCTAATTTTAAGAAATACAATAGTTTTTTGTATATGATCATGTACCCTACAATCTTTATAAATTCATTTATTAATTCTAATCGCTTTTTTGCATAGTACACTGAATTTTCTACATAGATGTTCATTTTGTTTATGAATAACTTTGCTGCTTTTTTCCCCAACATGGATGCATTTTATTTCAATTTATTGCCTGACTATGATTTCTAGTGCACTGTTAAGTAAGAGTGGTAAGAGCAAACATTCCTGTCTTGTTCCTGACAAGACAAGGGAGAAAGCATTGAGTCTTTACTACGAATTATGATGCTAGCTGTAGGATTTTTACAGATGCCTTTTACTAGAACAAGGAAGCACCCTTGTAAACGCTCATGGAGAATAAATATATGATTTTGCCAAAAGTATTTACTGCATTCATTAACAAGATCCCATGATTTTTTTCACTAATTAATTATGGTGAAATACATTGATTGACTTGGCCTTTCTTAGACATACCACACTTGCTCATTGTGCAATATAAATTATATACATTGTAAGAATCAATTTGCTAACATTTTGTAAAGACATTTTTGCATCTAAATTCACAAAGAATATTGGTTTGTACTTTTCTTATAGTATCTTTCTCTAGCTTTAGTATCAAGGTTATTCTGGCTTCATACAGTAAGCTGAGAACTGGTTCCTACTCACCAATTTTCTGAATGAGCTTCTGTAGATTTGGTAGATTCTGTAGATTCTTCTTTAGATGTTTGAAAGAAAAACCTCAGTGAAGCATTTGGACTTAGAGTTTTCTTTGAATGAATGGTGTTCAATTCAATTCAATTACTTTAAAATTCATTTACTTTAATACTTATATTCAATTATCTACTTATTCTTGAGCGAGCTATAGCAATTTGTGTCTTTCAAATGAATTTTGCATTTCATCTCAATTACCAAATTTGTTAGCTAAAGTTGTTCACAGTACATCCTTACTCTGTTTCTAGTTTTTGTAAAAATCTGTACTGACATAATCTCTCTCATTCTCAATAATAGCAATTTATTTTCTTTATTGATTTGCAGATCAGCCTTCTGGAGGGTATTAATTTTTGGTTTTGCTGATATTTCTCTATTTTTTTCCCTACCTCGTTGATTTTCATTCTAATCTTTATTATTTATCTTATTTTGTATTTAATTTGTTCTTCTAGTTTATTAAGGTGGAACTAAGGTAACTGGTCTGAAACTTTCTCTCTTCTAAATTAGTTATTAATAATTAGGAGTTATTAATTTCTAATTTATTTTCAATGTGATCAGAAAGCATACTTTGTAAGACTTAAGTCACTCTAAACGTTTTGAGACTTGCTTTAGGAACAGAATGTGTCCTAACTTGGTAAATATTCAACGTTTGCTTGAAAAGAATATGTATTATGCTATTCTGAATGGAGTGTTTTGTAGATATTAATCAAGTCAAGTTATTCAATCATCTTGCTTGTTATTTTTGGTCTGCTTTGTCTACAAAGGTTTTCTGTCTGTGTGTTCTACCATTTACTGAGAAACGGTATTGAAATTCCCGACTATAGCTATAGAAATGTCTATTTCCCTCTGGCATTCCATCACTGTTTGCTTAATTTATGTTTAATTTCTGTGATCACATATATAAAAGATTATTATTATTGGGATTGTTATGTCCTCCTGAAAAACTGACCCTGTTATCATTATCATCTGACATTTTTTTCATCCTCTTTTATTGAATATCTACTGATATTTATCTGATATTAATATAGCCACTTCAGCTTTATTTTGATTCATGGTATATATTTTTCAATCTTTTACTTTTAATGTGTTTATACTCTTATATTAAAATACTTTTCTTGTAGGCATGATGCACTTGGGTCTTTTTTTTTTTTTTGTCTCACTCTGTCGCCCAGACTGGAGTGCAGTGGCTGTTCCCGGCCACTGCAGCCTCGACCTGCTGGGCTCCGGCGATCCTTCTGCCTCAGCCTTCCAAGTAGCTGGAACTACAGGCGCACACTACCATGACTGGATAATTTTTATTTATTATAGAGATGAGGTCTCACCAAGTTGCCCAGGCGGGTCTCGAACCCACGGGCTCAGGCAATCCACTCACCTCAGCCTCCCAAGGCGCATGATTACAGGCTGAGCCACCGAGCCCGGCTGGGTCTTTTTCTTTTAATCAAAGCTGGTAATCTCTACCTTTTAATTAGGATGCTTAGAACTCATACATTTACCATGATTTTTGATACAGTTAAGTTATATTTATCATCTTGTTGTTAGTTTTTACTCAATTCACATGTTCTTTGCTACCCTTTTCCACTTTTGATGCCTTCTTTTGGAGCAAGTATTTTGCTTATTATTCCATTTCTAAGAACTCTAGGGAATAAGGTGTCCATAAGGGCTTTGCAAGCTCTGACATATTTCTAGAAATCTAGACAGCCACCCACATGCACAGGGCCATCCACATGCCCAGGGCTATGCACGTGCTCAGGAAAGACCTAAGAAGGCCATATGGTCTCACCTCTGGCTGACCATGGATGTGCAGGTTGATTTTTTCATCAAATTTGGGAAGATTTTAGTCATCATTTTTCCCTTTATTCTTGAGGCTCTGCACAGCAGAAAGTGAAGGCTAAGACAGAGCTGGTACCTTCCTGATTGAGTGTTGAAGGAGTTCCTCAGTATACTCTTAAGAGCACTTCAGCAAAGACAAGGAGAGGTATTGGTTTCCAGTGTTTTAAAAAAAATCTCTGCCTAATTATTAGCTGATAAATGAGCTAGCAGAGTAGGGATTATAATGAACACACATGATAAAGAATAAAGACTTTATAGATTAGTTCAGAAATATCACTAAACAAGCAATTACATTAAGCAGCAACAATCTGATTTCCAAAGTTGTCAGTTTTATTATTTGAAATGT